TGTGTATTTCAATAATTTTGTTTATATTTTATTTTACAAAAAATTTTAAATCTTCGTATACAATTAATATTATAAACAAAACTTTTCAGCTTATATACAAAAACTATAGCAAATTTCAACAAAGATAAAAATCACTATCAAATTTGATTGTTATAATCAAGATTCGATATCCAAAACACACAGTAACTGGTTTTGGAGATGTTTGCATTGCATTTCAATTGTCTAAAGACTTGACATCTTTGTTGACAAGTGATTTTAAGAAAATATATTACTCCTTGTTGAGTTTTTTACGGACTACAAAAATATGTATAAAACTTTGATAGAACAGTTTATCCTTAGTTAATTAGATACATGAAATCTTATAAATACTCCTGTTGCACAAAGCTTCCCTCCAAATGTCAACATTGTTTCAAAAAATCACCCGTCTGTAAGGACAAATCAGTTTGAGCTAACTTTTATCTTTTGACGGGTCCTCAAAAACTCTACCACTTAAAAGCAATTTCAGATGGATGAGTGTGGTTCTATGTATTGTTAACACAAACCACACCCACACCCTCATTCTCCATTGATATCATTATTATCTATCTTAAAGCAAGTCCTATTTCTCAAAGATTGTGGCAGGTTACACAAATAGGTATGTTATCGGATACATTCGTGTACTGTGCTGTCCAATAATGTACGAAAGTTATCTTGTAAAAATGAATTACCATTTATAAATGTATAGTAATTTGATGGTTAGTGTCTATGACTCTTGCGAGCAAGTTTGATGATGAAAATAATGCCGGTATATGTTACTGTTAGATATTGGAACAAATTTGTCGCATGAGTTATTCCGGTAGCACGTTGTATTTCGTTCTACAGCATTACACGACTATTCTGTGTAGTTTATGATATAGTCGTGACATATCTTGATCATTGTGATGCCGTTAACATGGTATCGATGGTTAGATTTTGAGATACAATCATTTGTTTCAATGTACTCGGTAAAAATGGATAGTTCTTTTGACCAGGTCGGTACATTTAGAATGAGATTCATTTTTGGGCTGATCGCAAGTTATCTGATACCATGCTATATATAACACATGAATATGTAATAATTATCTCTACTATTCAATTTTGTTTTGTATAAAATTGTCTCAGACAATTGAAATTTCTTTTGGCGTTGTCATGATGAATGAATTCATCTGTCTTCAAAATTCTTCTATGTCTATGTGACGGTCTACTTGTTTTAAGAAGAGAATTTTGTGTTTGAATAGAAATATAGTAGCTGAAATAAAACATGATATACAGTGTTTCTTTTTTCATGTGGTACTAAATGATTTTATTGATTTAGTTCTCGACATTGCAAGCATTCAATTGTAGAATATTTCCTTCAACAATGAAAGATCTATCAATTTGCAGCAGTGTGAACATTTAAATAGTATTCATTTAGAGTAGCCACTTTTCAGTTTATGACTTTTCTGTTATGTACAGAACAAAAAAGAATCAAGATTATGCTATGTATTGAGGGAGGAATTTACTCTGTAGATCAGGTTATAATGTGTCATTGAAGATTTTAATTAGTGTTTTAATGTGGTTTTCACTACAGTCCAATTTAGCGTGAAATGTTCGAAGACATTTCTTGAAGAACTTTTGAAACAAAAAGAGACAAACAAATCGGATTTTAGCAGTATCTGAGGTCGACATTGCTCTATCGCTTTACAAAGTCGATGAAAAATTCCAGTTGCTTTTCTTCTTCGATACATCATGAATTTTAAAAATGGTCTTAATTCGATTTGGAAGTAATATGCTTTCTCAAGTATAGTATTATGGGCATATAGCATAACTTCTTCTCTGTCGATCTATGCAAAGTCGAAAACCATCATGAATTGCGTTCTGAAAATTCACAGATTTTGCTGAAAGTCATTAACCAATTTTTATCAAAATGTGATTCGCTAACAAATATTTCTATGAATTGTACGTTCCCTTCGACTTCTTGACATGATTTAATAACTTTCAGAGTTTTTTCTCTACTGAAAACATTATTAAAAACCATACGTGAGACTTCTTTTTTGACTATAATGTATTAATACTATCGAATAGTTCTCCTAAATCTTTTTTTTTATTCGTGTTTTCATTAGAATAATTTCTGAATCCGAAACGGTAAACCGAAGACGGTTTTAAGATGTTTACGTAAGTTCAATATGAAATTCATTAATCATTAGTATCACTTGCGTTAGCAGTGATATAATCATCATCATCATGATCACTTGGCTCTTCTTCGAGGTCGTCGACATAAATATCGGCTATATTTAAACGTCGTCTCGCATTCTTTAACATAATTAATGTAAATGGTTGCTCTCATCACACCTAAGCCATAAAGGGTGTGAGTATAAGTAGGTGTGGATGTGGATGTAAATGATCATTGCACAGAAGGCTCATACCACACCTATCCCACATCGACACCCACATCCTCACAAGAATACATTGATCATTTAGACATTTTTCTTTATGAGTTTTTACTTCGATCTTCTTTTAAGCCGTTTACATATTCGACGTTTTCTCTCACGATCTACCAATCGATATCAGACGATTTAAATTCAGACGATGAACAAACATCTTTAGAGACTCAAAACTGAAACCGACCAAATGAATCATTTATTGAATGAACGTTGATAAAAGAACTTCGAGCAAGAAGATGATGAAACTTACTGAGTCTTTCTAATCAAAATGTGCGATCGTGTGGCATTGAACGAATATCCCACGAAATATATCAGCTACAAAATCACATGTACCTGACTTGGTTCATCTGAGCTTGAATGAACCATTGCTATGGCTTAATACTCTACTAGACATATTGATGAAATATCGAATTGGCACATGACAGATTGTTATCTCTATAAGTCACTAAATGAAAACTTTTTATATGCGTTCACGACAAACACAAGTCGTGCCTCTTCAACTTCTCATGTACAACAGAGCTTGATATCATAAGAATTCAGAAAAATTATACAATCGTTGTCTATATTTTGCTAAGATTCTTTATTAGAAATATGATACTGGATTACACAAAGAAAAAGATTAAGTCGTTTTCTTGAAGAAAAGCAAACGGTTTTTTATGGATCGTTTCTTGTTTTTTGATAACCGTTCATGTGAATTATTGTATGCTCTTTCAAAGTCTTGGGCGTCGTTTGAAGTCATCGATGCGGTTTCTATTATGTCCGATAGGCTGTCGTCTAAATGAAAAAGTAACTCTTGTGTTTACTAGATTTGATGTTTTCATGGAAAAATCCTTTAGACACTCTTTTTCTCGATGAAGTGCGCAGTGCACCTGTTCACGTTGGAAGACATCAACTAGACTTCGCAGCTCAATAAAGAATCATGAAAGAAAAAGAAACTCATTTGGGATTAAAACCAAAATGGAGTTCATGAGAATATGGAATAGAGGTGGAACTAGGATAATACTACAAGTTGGAAACTCTTTTCTGGGCAGCGCGAGCTGAAGCAGAGTGAAGTTGATTTCTCCAAGATTCTCTGCCCTAAACTTTTATATTATGTATATCCATGTAGAGGTGTTAGATGTGAATCATCAATTTCTCAATAAGTTTGCAACCGTCTCGATGAGCAACATTTGAATAGTACAGCTATATTGAGAAAAATTTTTTTGCCATCACGGACAAAGAAGTCATTTCGATAAAATCATAGCATTTTTAACGTATATTTCGATTAATTCTTATTAAACATCAATGTTGAATAAATCAATATCATGTTTCAATTGCTAAAATTAATTAAGGTTTGCAGAGCTGCGTTTCTGGCTACACCTATAAATAATAGAAAAATTTCTGGTACTCAAACTGTTTCTGGTAACTTTCCTCTCAATTCGCTTAAGAATATGATCATAGGGAATTTCAGACACTATTCGCACCTCAATTAGAAACACTGAAAAACTGCTCATTCTTGTCATGTATATTATCAGATGGCATTTTAGCTGATATCCGTATACAATTACATTCAGAACCATGTTTTAGAAAAAAAATTTTTTTAATAGCGACTCTGATTTTAGTTCGTATTATCAAGTGGTCCCCAAAATTGAGTCGCTATAAAAATGTAGTTTCGATTAAGATGAATATAATTTAAACAATGACAAAAGTGAACAGTATTCAGGCACGAAGGAAATTGTAGATTATTACAAAAAAGCGTATGGCTGTCATCTATTAGAATGAATATAGGTTATACACGGATGGCATAAAAATAGTATGTAATATCTTAATAACGTATACTATTATGGCTTAGATTTCATTTGTGATAAAAATCAAACGAATAAATAGTTTGATAATAGTTTAGATTTAAACTGACAGCAGTTTTTCTTAGGCGTTATTGCTAAATGGCCAATATTTGATTATAATTAACAAAAAAAGATTTCATTTCTTTTTATAGAATTTGGGCACCCTACTGATATAATAAGCACGGTTAAACTCTAAGGGCGCTGTGACTATTATTTACATAAATAATTTCTTTTTAGTATGTGATCAAATAGATCATGTGGGTCAAGCTTACCACCTTTTTTTTATAAAACACAGAGTGGTTGAGTTTGGGCGGAATGAGAATAGAGATAAAAGAACTTCTCACGATTTTGGTTTCTAATTCTAAATGTAAATGAACGTTTACAGAATAAGCAACAAAGCTGCGTGATCATTGATTTTGTATCTAAAGTTTTACTGAAGTGCTCAATAATTAAAACAAAACATAGTTTTTAGTTTATCCCTTAGTCAGGGTACTTCACTAATTATCGTTTTCCTAATTGAACACGGTGTCCTTTTCTCATACAATCTGTTTCAATATTGATCGACGTGCTATCCTGAGTAGGGGGTAGAACAATTGAGTTGGGAGATACCGATGAAGATTTCAAACTACTTTGTTCATCATAAGCAGACGCTGCTTCCAAAAAGTCATCGTTTGCCGTTGTTTGATAAGGACTACCCATGTTGCCTAAATAGGTTAGAAAGTCAGAGAAGAAAAAGTTACGTAAAGATGAACATACCAGTAGAAGGTGACGACATCTCTTCATAGTTCATTAAATTCGGATCGACACGCAAACGATCATGTGCATGCGAATGATTCTTATCTTGATCCTCTGGATCATTCTCGAGAAATCCATATTTCAGATCCTCCTTATCGTGTTTATCATAGATCTCACGTAGAAATTCACTGGCCGATGTTGGATCACGATGAGTCATTAACGTTTGTTCTTCATCGAGTATGTTTTCATTGGAGGTCTCATTAGATTCCTCAGCTGAACGATTATAAGAGCTTTGAGAAAGATATTGTCGTCGATGACGATTCTCGACAGCTTCTTGTTTCTTGCGCATGTATTCTGCATGTTTCGTGCTTTTGAGATTGATGTTTTCCATACGTGATCGACGCTGTTCGCTTTGAACACGCTGACCAGTATTCATTTCAGTAATGGCGTTATTGATGAACAATAGAGCTTCGTTCAAAGCTTGAATCTTTTCAATCGACGTATGACACGCATCGTTGATCTCATCGAAACCTAGATTTGACATATCAGCAATTTGTCGTTCCGTCATACGGTCAATGCGTGTAGAAAGAGAAATTCGATTTGGATTATCAGAGTGTCGTTCTCTACAGAATCGATCAAAATTATGAATTCTCATTACGACATATGTATTAAAACTGGATCGAATTTCTTCTAAAAGTCGACCACAACTTGCTGTGTAGAGCTCTTTAATTGTCCGTCGTGCATTTTCATGATGACTGCATGTGTATGGATCTCGTTTACTTGTCAAAAATGATTCAGAACCATAGATTTGCTCGAGAAGTTTATGTGGTGAAATCGATTTGAAAATATCAGCTAACGTAGCCGTCGTGTATGTATTGTTTGTTGAACTTTTTATAAAAATACCATCAATTGGTTGCTTGAATGCTTCATGTTCGATTTCTCGTGGAACCGAAAACATCAGTTTTGACATACGCTTCATGATATCATAGTGTGCATAGGCACTAGCCGATTGACGATAATCACGAACGAGACGAATGGCATCGCGAATCATTGTGCGTACAATAATGTGATACTCAAGATCGACTGCATTAAGAAAAATATTGTGATCACGCAACATTGGATATTTTTGATTGCTAAGAAGATAGCGTTTAACATGGATTCGAAACACGTCCAATAGATAGGAATACATTTGTGTTAGCCAACGAATACCCATCAGAAAAGTTTCACGTAAGAGAGTGCGAAGAATATCTCGAACTGCTTTTTCTAAATCATCAAAGTCTGTTGTACCGGCAGATAAAAGTGAAGCTGCTGATTCAATCCAATCTCGAGTCGGTTCTCGTGGTTTAAAATGTAGAATCATGTACGAAAAGAGATTGTGAAGTCGTACAAAATGACGACAACCAACATAACGTACATTGACCGTTTCATGTTCATCGGGAAATTGTTGTTTCAAGTCGTTTACGCTTAAATATGCCCGCCAGGTGACTGTCTTCTTGCGATTCCATTCATTATAGGCAGTTTCGATCTCCTCGTATGTCTGACCACATCGGTCGAGAGGAAAAATAAAATCGATTTCCGACTTGTAACTAGAATATTGACAAAGAATCTTATGAAAATCATGAAGATAGTTTCTATAGGTATCTCGAAGGATGTGGGGATCGAGTAGTTTGTACCGCTCTTGATCTTCATCATATTGACGTCTAGCCTTGTCAAGTTCATCTTGAATTTTTGCTCTTAATTTCGGTAGAGCAGAACGAAATGACTAGAATCAATGAAGAGGAACTCGATTGCATTGCAAATACTTTTATATAAAAATTTAAATGAAAATCAAGCAATTTACCTTGAGCCAAAGTGATTGAATTTGATTTCGTACAACATCGATACCGATAAGTTTACGATAGTTCTCATCGAAACGTTGATAATGATCCGGTGATTGACCACTCTTTTGATTCATTTTCTCAATCCATTTGTCTACTTCTTGTTGTTCTCGACGCGATAAATCACGAAGATAGGCAACATTATCATCGAACGATCGTTCTGCCATTGAATATCCATCAAAAATCATATTAGTGAAGAAAGAAGGACCGAAATCGTGCAGTTGCTTTGACATTTCATTATTAGCTGCAGTTCCATTGGTAAAGTTCAACATGAAAGAGTCAAATTTTGTATGGATAGTGATCATATTTTGATGGTAATCAGATCGTGGCGGTAAAGAAGTATCAGATCCTGTTTGTTTCTTACAGAGCTCATCAATTACACGTGCTCCATGACTATTATCAGTGATTTGTGTTGTCTCTTTCAATAGAACGATGGAGAACCGAGGATTACGTACGAACGATTCGGCTATTTTTTCTACTGCTTGTCGATTCTCAGCCACTTTATCACCACCAACCAGACCGGGAAGATCAAGAATTTCGAAATCCGTATATTCAGCACTTTCGATCTCGATCCATTCGGGTTCTAGTCGAAAGCCACCCGTTGCGGAACATTCTTCTTGAATACGTCTCATTAACTGTTGTAAATAATTTGCCAGCTGAGAAGCAGTAATACCTGCTGGCCGAATAATACGAAGCTCGCCGATTGGTAACGTCGGATTGTAGACAAGTCGATAGGCCACTGGACAACGTGTTGCAACTCCAGTCTGGGAGAATGAACAAGGAAATCGAAGAAAATTTTGTACGAGCATCGATTTGCCGGTTGATGTTTCGCCGACAAGAACCAATTGTGGTACTTCGAGTTTGTCTTCGACATTGTATTTTTTGGCAATCGTTCGGAGTTGCGTATAAGCTTCGAACGCAGCTCGATCAATAACAGGTTCGTAATTGGTGGAAGATGCCATATTTGAATGAAGTTTGCTATCGAATTTCTTTTTAATACAATGAAAAACAGAGAGCAAAATAAGCCTCTTTTATACAACCACAGAACGATGAAAAAATGCTCTCTATACTGTTTAGACGCGACTTTACTATTGACTATGAAAATAAAACACATTGACGTCATCATTATCAATGTAGATGACACATTCATGAATCATCAAAAAAAAAAACCAATAGTGATATTGCATTTAGTTTATATGCAATCAAAAAACAGGAATTCTTATTCAATGGTCTCATATAATTGCTTTTTACTTTATGTGAGTGCAAACAAAACCACCGCACGATATTTTTTGCTGCTCCGCATTTCAAATAATTGTGTTAACCTTTAAGAAAAAAAAATCCATTTTTAGACAAAAACAGATTTTTTCAACTCGACTAATACAATATTTTGTTCTGTATGATGTATGCGTTTCACCTTGAAAGTATGTTTTCAATGTGAGTGAAGAAAATGCATCTGTTCTTGTCCACATCAGCATCCAGAATAAAACACCTGCGTGTTGTCATTAACGCCTTCTTTGTATGAAATTCGTATAGTATTATATTTTGAAAAAACTCACATAAGCGATAGATAAAAAAATCGAAATCTTCAAATACTCTTAAATTAGAATGAAACAATAACATTGATGAGTGTTCATTTGAATTTTACTCATTCTTCTATATACTTAAAAAAAAGAAATAATGCCGTGACAAATCGACTATTGGACTTGTCATTTTCAGGCACAATATCCGAACGCATAGATTTTTCTCGTTTGATTTCTTTTTTTTTCTTTTTGATATGAATCATATAATAGTGTCGCGACAAGATGATAAAACTGTTATCAGATAAAAGAATTCAAAAAGAAAAATCTATACATTCATACACAGTAGGCGTCTTATTTTTTTGTTAATTTATTTGAAATTTAAACTTTTATAAGTGTATTTCTGTATTTAATAAATTGTTGTAAATATAAATGGGATTACTCAATTATTCAAAAATATGTCTTAAAAATATTGGTAAGAAGTAACAACAGTGACAGGTTTTGTACCTTAAAATCCGATCACTAGAATAAAAAATTCTCTAAAAATAGGCCGCACTCTATCTTCTTAAGATCTATGGATGCAAGAATACTGATAAAACACATATTTGATAGTACACTTCGTCGGTAAATAGTTGTTTTTACTCGCAGTGACATTGGAGCAATTTTAAAATCAACTGATATTAGGGTGTGGGTGTGAAAAGAACCGAAACACATCCACACCTTTTGCAACAGTAAACAAAAGGACGTAAAGCAACTGTTCGGCATGATTTTTTGAATAAAATATTGAGAAAAGTAAAATAATTATTCATAGGTACTCCAGCGTGATTAAAGGACAGATAGACCTACAGAACTTCACCGAATATAATGAAATCTTATGCTGGTTACTTTAAGTAAAGCCGAAATATTGATTTAATTAGGATTAAATGATTAAAAGTCTAAGCCGTTTTACTACTTTTTTCGTCATGATCATTGAAATCAGAAAAATAACTGTTATCAACGTTTTTCTAATAACTAAAGTCACTTATAGCTATTAAATAGAACTTAATAGTTGAATACATGATGCCAAACGCTTCGTATATGACCCAAAACAATAGTATATAGATCCAAAGTATGACTCTTAAGCACAATTGTGTCAAGTTTATTTCGCGAATGAAAGAGTATCTATTTGTGAGTTTTTTCATTATAGCTAGAGATTTTATAAGTCTGCAAAAGGATACGGAGCGGTAAGGTTCATGATGCTGATCACTGTGACTATAAGCTAGGATATAGGTATGTGTTTGATTCTTATCTTCTTCCACATTTCACACTCACAGTGACCTTTTCAACAGACTACATTCCATGTCAAATGGTATGTGTCAAACATTCGATTTTATAAAACTGCTTTTTTCAAAACAAAATAATTGCCATCTTTATTAAAAGATAAAATGGGAAGTGCATAGCCTAATTTATAGAGTAATTTTTTCTAGAAAAACAAGTTGTTAAAATATTCTAGATAAAATAGATGGGTAATTATGTAATGTAAAATAAAATATTAAATATATTAAAAACAGCTAAAGTCTTTTTTTTTGTAACACGTGACATTTCGGTATCTATTTCACAGATACCATCATCAGACGAAAACAACCACCAACATAAACTAATCACACATCTATATCAGATCTATTATTACCTAATGTATTGTATGTAAGATTCTGTATTACCAAATTCAAAAATATAATCGGTTAACTCATTGAAAGAAAAAAATAAATGAATCAACTTGAAATAAATAAATGAATTTTTCTGATATAGATGTGTGATTAGTTAATGTTGGTGGTTGTTTTCGTCTGATGATGGTATCTGTGAAATAGATACCGAAATATCACGTGTTACAAAAAAAAAGACTTTAGCTGTTTTTAATATATTAAATATTTTACTTAAGTTATTAAAAACTGTTTCACATTTTTCATTGAGTGTGTTTTACGTTAAAGTGTGGGTGTGGTTATCACTGTCGATACAACCCACACCCACCCACATCCACATCCGCACCCACACCCACAACCACACCCCACACCAACACCCACACCCCACATCCACACCCTCACCCTCACCCACACCCACACCCACCAACACCCACACTCACACCCACCCGCACCCACACCCCACACCCACACCCACACCCCACACGTACACCCATCTACACCCACATCCATCACAGACCGTGACAGACAGGGCTCTGGGCCCTTTACAGACCGTGACAGACAGGTCTCTGGACCCATCACACACCGTGACAGACAGTGCTCTGGACCCATCACAGGCTGTGACAGACAGGCATTGGACCCATCACAGATCGTGACAGACAGAGCTCTAGGCGCTTCAGAGGCCGTGACAGACAGTGCTCTGGACCCATCACAGACCGTGACAGACTTTGTTCTGGACCCATCACAGACCATGACAGACAGGGCTCTGAAACCATCGCAGATCGTGACAGACAGTGTTCTGAACGCATCAGAGACCGTGACAGACAGGCTCTAGACCCATCACAGACCGTTACAGACAGGGTTCTAGACCCATCACAAGCCGTGACAGACAGGCTCTGGACCCATCACAGACCGTGACAGAGAGGGCTCTAGACCCATCACAGATTGTGACAGACATGGCTCTGGACCCATCACAGGCCGTGACAGACAGGGCTCTGGACCCATCACAGACCGCGACAGACAGGCTCTAGACCCATCATAGATTGTGACAGACAGGGCTCTGGACCCATCACAGACCGTGACAGACAGGGCTCTGGACCTATCACCGGCCGTGACAGGCAGGGCTCTGCGCCTATCACAGACCGTGACAGACAGGGCTCTGGACCCATCACAGACCGTGACAGACAGGCTTTAGACCCATCACAGACCGTTACAGACAGGGTTCTGGACCCATCACAGGACGTGACATACAGGGCTCTGCGCATATCACAGACCGTGACACACTGGGCTCTGAAACCATCGCAGATCGTGACAGACAGTGTTCTGGACGCATCAGAGACCGTGACAGACAGGCTCTAGACCCATCACAGACCGTTACAGACAGAGTTCTGAACCCATCACAAGCCGTGACAGACAGGGCTCTGCACCCATCACAGACCGTCACAGACAGGGGTCTGGACCCATCACAGATTGTGACAGACAGGGCTCTGGACCCATCACGGACTGTTACAGACAGGGCTCTGGGCCCATCGAATGCCGTGACAGACAGGGCTCTGAACCCATCAGAGACCGTGACAGACAGGCTTTGGACCCGTCAGAGACCGTGACAGAGATGTCTGATGGATCATTACAGACTGTGATAGAAGACTTCACGGAAATATTAGAAGTGACGCATAACTAACATATGATTGAAGCATATACGGAATATTATCCTGTTGAAAGTCTATAATGTAAGGTAAACGATTATGAAGAAATGTACATCAGTATGCATAAAAAAACAATAGTTATTAGAACAGCGGCTACAGCAGCTACATCGTGTTTCATATTTTTAATCCCGCAAGGGATTGCGCGAACAGCTTTTTTTTAAAAATAATACAATTCAATGTCAATAACTCTTTTTCGTTTTTTTATTTTGTTTATCATCAATTTGTTCGATCTTAGAAACTTGATCAACTAAAAAAATTCTTGAAAAAGTAAACAATTATAATTATTTACATATTATTTCTATTTTTCAAATAAATCTTAAATCATATTCTATATTGATAAATAAAATAGTTATATAATAAGCTGAAATATCTGAATTGTTAAAATAAAGTAAATATAGATGATTGTTTTTGCATTGATAAATAAAAACTAAAAATAATCTATAATATTTATTTTAAAAGATTTCCTTGTGTAGTTTTTTCAGACGAAAATGAGAAAAAAATAAAATTGTGTTCGATAAAAACGAAAAAAGAAAAAACAATTAGTGTACGTTGTTTTTTTTTGCTCAAATGAATTCTTTTAAGTTTTGTTCGTTCTGACTGAATTGAATCGAATGCATTTATAAAATATGAATCATTCGTATTTTTTTTTATGAATGAAATCTACAGGGATGAACATGAGAAAATTTCATCATATTTACTGATTAAAGTGTGTCTCTTTCTATTTAAAAGGCATTTTCTCTTTTTATTCAATATCTTTAACACGTGAAATTTTTTTTTAAGCAAAAATTGAATCTATTCGACTGTTCCTATCGATTTTGATATGTATTCTTATAGGGAAATTAATTAGTATTTAGTTACAGAAAATATTTATTTCTATTAATAAATATAACATTTGTATTCGAATGTTGTAATTCCATTAACATATTCAATTGAATAAAAATTGTCATTTTCAATGCTATATTAAAAAAGAGAGAACGAAATAGTTACATACTCACTTATGTTCTCAAGTGTTGATTTTGAAATAAAGGTTAGAAACGTATACTGAAGAAACATTTGTTTAATA